TTTTATCTCTACCTTGAATGGTGTCGCTTGAACAGTGTATGAAACATATTAGGTGCTCAATATTTTTTGTTCAAATTAAGGAATTAAAGATGCTTTCTCAGCAGCCATCTGCTTAATTCTCAAACTTTCACCTTCCTGTGAAATCCTTCTGGCACCTCCTTATCCAGTATTTCTTCCCCAAAGTCCTCTCTGCCTGAATAAGTTTTTCTAAGTGGCAATCTCTTACTTCCATTAGTGTACAACTTTCAGGCAATGCTTGCAGCCCTCCCCAGTAGCATGAAGTCACTGCTTAGCAGATCCAATTTATTGTGAATTTCCTTTTTGCCTGCATCCCTGTCCTCAGAGTTAGTCTGCACATCTCACTTCCTGCCCAGGCCCATGATGTAGGTGATTGTCACTTAGTAAAACCACAGCATACTTAAAACACAAATTTATATTAATGTTAGTCTTGTACTCTTGGACTTCCCTGGTGGCCCAGTGGCTAAGACTCCACACTCCCAATTCAGGGAGCCTGGTTGGGGAACAAGATCCCAAATGGCACAACTAAGAGTTCATATACTACCACTAAAGATCTCACATGCCACAGTGAAGACCTGGCAGAGCTGAAGAAATAAATAATATTTTTTAAAATTTATAAAACCAAGTAAAACATGATTCTTGAACTCTTGCTTCAATTCATAGGTGTATGCTATAATTAAGGCTGTCAGACTCAGCACCATCCTAAATAAAGAACTCCTCCTCTTGGAGGGCACAAACAAATAAAGAACACCCAGTTAAATATTTCATGGAACATACTTTTGTTAAGACTTACTTGTTGTATTTCTGAAATTCAACTTTACTGAGGCATGATGTATTTTATCTAGCAACCCTACCTATGGACATAGATATTGTTGAAAGGGCATTTTCAGCCTGATTATTTTCTAGAAAAACTGTATGCAAAATAGCTATATTATCCAAGTCTCCAAATAAGACACACTTGGATTATTTCACTGTATTAAAAAATACCAGAAATAGGGAGTACTCCCTTGAAATTTAAGGAAGTGACTTTGAATTTAAAAGAAATTGAAACACTTAATGTAGTAATAAACATATGGAATTTATAAATCCCAGGAAAAGATCCAGGTAGAACATTTTTGAAAAAAAAAATCTTTTAAAGGTTTTAGAAACATTCATGTGCAAAAATACAAATCAAATAAAGATGATAAAACACCTTCTGTATTTTGGGCACTCATGATCCAGACTAGAAGACACTGTCTCTGCACTTAGAGTCTGCTAGTAATACAGATATAATTCAAAATGACAATATAGTGTTAGGAGAAAAATAGAAGTAAATAAAAAAGTGCAGTTGTAGCAAGAAAGTGGTTGGTTATCTGTAGTTGGGGAAAGATGAGAGTAAAGGGAAAGCTCTCTAGTAGATGACCCTTCAATTTGGTTTTTAAAATCCATTTTATTTGGGGTATAGTTTACATACAATAAAATTTATCCATTTAAAATCTATTTTGATGAGTTTTATTTTATTTTTTATAGGTTTACTGATGCATAGTTTATGTAAACTGTAGCCTTTTTAGGTGTACAGTTCTATGAATTTTGACAAACATACTCAGTTGTTTAACTACCACCACAATCAAGATATAGCGTATTATTTGAAAGTTGCTAAGAGAGTAGATCTTAAAAATTCTCACCATAAAGCAAAAAATAACTATGTGAGGTGATGGATGTGTTAAATAACCTCATTGTGGTAATCATCTTGCTATCTTTACATATTATCAAATCTTCATGTTGTACACCTGAAACTTGGACAACATTATATGTCAATCATATCTCAATAAACCTGAAAAAGATGCCTAAAATAAAAGATAGGGTATTTCTTCTACCCAGAAGACTTCCTTCATGCCCTGCTGTATTAGTTTTCTATTGCTGTGAAAATAAATTACCACAAACTTCGCGATTTAAAACAACATCCATTTATTAGCTCATATTTCCGTAGGTCAGAAGTCCAGGCACAGAGTGTTGGTTTCTCTGCTCAAGGTCTCACAAGGCTGAAATCAAAATGTTCCCCAGGCTTGAGTCCCTTTTTGGAGATGAGTAAAAAATTTGCTTTCAGGCTCATTCAAGTGATTGGCATAATTCAGTTCCATGGGGCTGTAAGACTGAACTTCCCCATTTTTTTTTTGACACTTGATCCCTCCATCCTCAATCCAGCAACAGCAAGTTGAATCCTTCTTGTGCTTCAAACATCTCCCTCTTCTTCCTCTGCTTCTAAGAGTTCATATGATTACATTGGGCCTACCTAGATAATCCAGGTTGATCTTGTCATTTTAAGATTAAATGACTAATAACCCTAATTACAACTTCAGAGTTCCTTTTGCCATGTAACATAATGTATTCACGGGCATAAAACCCGGACTGAAGGTCACAGGGGCTCAAAATTCTGCTTCCCTCGCTTTTTGTATCAATCCCTTTGCTCCACTCTAGCTTCTGGCAACCTCTGATCTGATCTCTGTCCCTGTAGTTTATTTTTTCCAGAATGTCATATACATAGAATTATACAGTTAATAGTCTTTGAGTCTGACTTTTTTTTTTTTACCCAGCATAAGGCTCTTGAGGTCTATCCATTGTGTGGATAAGTAGTTCCTTTTTATTGTGGGATAGGTAATATTTCATTGTATGGATATAGCATAGTTTGCTTCACCTGATGAGGTGGTCCAGGTGGTAGTCACATTCATCTTAAGGGAATAGGGAGAGGACAAAGCCTAGGAATCACTTAGTGATCTGAAGTTGCACGTAGATGCACACATTCAGGGGATGACCTGGTCCTAGGAGATCATCTATATGCACCACTTTTTAAATAAAAGAAACTCCAAGAGTTTAACTAACTGCTCAAAACACACACCTGGTCAGCACCTGAATTGGGACTTAAACCTATATCTGACAAGAATTACATTGGTTATTCCTAACTATTTTTAATGTGGTAAAGTTATGGATCTTTTCTCCCAAAAAGTTTATTATGAAAGTACATACCAGCCCCAGTTTAAGAACTCTTGTGCCATGGCACTATTCTTCAGCATGACCTAGAGCTCTGTGGGTACTTTGTGTTGATAATTTCTCCCCAGATATAGGACTAAATCTTTCTCAGATTCCTTATGGTTCTAAAGGTTGGGTGGGGTGGTAGGGGATAGCATGTACTAATGAAGACATTTCCTGAACTTATGGGACAATTTGATGGGTTAGCAGGGGTTCCCAAACTTTTTTTTAAAGAGCCAGAAAATAAATATCTTAGGCTTGCATGAATATAGTTTCTGTGACAAAACTTATCTCTGTAGTTGTAGACCGTATGTAAGTGAATGAATGAGCACAAGAGCACAACTGTGTTCCAATAAAACTTTATTTAAAAAACCAAGTTTTGGGCCTTCAGGTCATAATTTGCTGACCCTTAGAGTGGTCACAGTCTGTTATAAAGATGTAATGCTATAGAGTCTGATGTGTGTATTTGTATCTCCTCATACATTTACCCTAATCCTTTAGGGCCAATTATAATCATTCCTTGTGATTAAAATTCAGACCATTATTGCAGGTAGGGGCAATTGGAGTAGGAAGACCTAATTTCAAATTGTCCTTTATTGTCTGTATGAACCTTGATCCCATTACTTTGAGCATCGTTATAACAGAGTATAAGACCTGGAATATGAGTGTAATAATGGCAGACTTGCAAGGCTGTTGTGAAGCAGACAGTGGTTATTCAGTGATCCTTGATAAATTGAACTGCTTAATGAATTTCACCTCTGTGACATTTGTCCTTTCTTCTGACCATCCCATCATAATAAAGAACCCCATTGTCAACTTCAGTGTCAGTTACTATAAAAGTTAGGTGCAACTAGCTAGGCACATAGGAAGTTTGATGAGGCATAAGGATCAAGAAGCCTCCTGGGAAAGAAATCATCCAAAGTTAAAAAGACTGTCACATAACTTGAGTCAAGGGCAGTTGGGTTCATGTTAGGACCTTGGCTAGATTATGTGAGTCTATCACAAATATCTGTCACAGATATCATCTGGCCCAGCCCCCCTTGAACCCAGGCCTGAATCTTACATCAAAGTATCTCCAATAAAAAAGCAAATGTAAAGGAAAAAAGTCTTGTTGTAATATGACAGCAACCTCAGCGTCAGCAGCTTTGGCAGCACCCGGGAGAATGCAGCGTTGGAAGACAGCACATTTCCTATTGGGTACTGACAACCTGGAAATGGATACTGCTTGTCACCAGGATTGCCCTTGGCAGATACCAAGTGGAGGTTTTGCTTTTGATGGCCATTGGCCAGGACAGTATATATACACAGAGCAAGCCCTAGAAGAAGAGAAGAGAAATGGGAGATATGCAGTGGCCATGAGTACTGATTCCCAGAGAACTTGTGAGATATTATCTTGGTTTAACAGGTAGTTTTTGGTGGTGGGCAGTGGGGAAGGGCCAGAAAGATGACATAAGGGAATGTATGGGTACAGAATAGGGAGTGAAGTTACTAGAGTGTGCTTGGGAATGGAGCCAGGAAAACATGAACTTGTGATTCCTCCCTTTCCTACAAAGCTAGTGCAATTGTGGAAACTCAAGTGCAATGCAGTAATATTTAGTCTTCCTGAAGATCCTGTACTTCATAACTTATGACTTTTTTCTTTCTTTTTAAAATTTAACTATAGAGCTTTCACTTCTCGTGCTACCGCGACTAAGATGGAAGCACTGCTGGAGTCGCGGTCCGGACTTTGGGCCGGGGGTCCGGCCCCCGGGCAGTTTTACCTCATTCCGCCCACTCCCGGTTCCTCTGTGGACCCGGCGTCCGCGCTCTACGAGGGTCCGATTACATGCACCCACAACCCCATGGTGACCGGGACCTATGTCCTGGGTCTCAAGTTTGAGGGTGGAGTGGTGATCGCCGCAGACATGCTGGGCTCCTAGGGCTCCTTGGCTCGTTTCCGCAACATCTCTCGCATTATGCGAGTCAACAACAGCACCATGCTGGGTGCTTCCGGAGACTATGCTGATTTCCAGTATTTGAAGCAAGTTCTCGGGCAAATGGTGATTGATGAGGAGCTGTTGGGAGACGGACACAGCTATAGTCCTAAAGCTATTCATTCATGGCTGACCAGGGCCATGTATAGTCGACGCTCCAAGCTGAACCCCCTGTGGAACACCATGGTCATTGGAGGTTATGCTGATGGAGAGAGCTTCCTGGGTTATGTGGACATGCTCGGTGTAGCCTATGAAGCCCCTTCGCTGGCCACTGGTTATGGTGCATACCTGGCTCAGCCTCTGCTGCGAGAAGTTCTGGAGAAGCAGCCAGTGCTGAGCCAGACGGAGGCCCGAGAACTAGTGGAACGCTGCATGCGAGTGCTGTACTATCGAGATGCCCGTTCTTATAACCGGTTTCAAATCGCTACTGTAACTGAAAAAGGTGTTGAAATAGAGGGACCCCTGTCTGCGGAGACCAACTGGGATATTGCCCACATGATCAGTGGCTTTGAATGAAATACAGATGCATTATCCAGAACTGAAGTTGTACCCTTCTTCTAACTTTGAACTTGGCTGGTTCAAAGGTACTATTCTTTTGTAAAATAAATAAATTCTTTGAAAAAAATAAAAATAAAAAAAAATTGAACTATAGTTGATTTACAATGTTGTGTAAATTTCTGCTGCTGCTGTTGTTGTTCAGTTGCTCAGTCGTCTCTATTTGTGACTCCATGGACAGTAGCATGCCAGGCCTCCCAGTCCTTCACCATCTCCCGGAGCTTGCTCAAACTCATGTCCATTGAGTCAATGATGCTGTCAAACCATCTTACCTTCTGTCACCCTCTTATTCTCCTACCTTCAATCTTTCCCTGCATCAAGGTCTTTTCCAGTGAGTCGGCTCTTCGCATCAGGTAGCCAACCTATTGGAGCTTCTGCTTCAGCATCAGTCCTTCCAATGATTAGTCAGGGTTGACTTCCTTTAGGATTGACTGGTTTGATCTCCTTGGTGTCCAAGGGACTCTCAAGTGTCTTCTCCAATACCACAGTTCAAAAGCATCAATTCTTTGGTGCTCAGCCTTCTTTACAGTCCAACTCTCACATCCATACATGACTAGTGGAAAAACCATAGCTTTGACTAAGTGATTCATAACCCTCTGACCTTTGCATGTGGGTTTTTGTCCTTTAGCACCATCTTTCCTCTTGAGGTTTTCCTTCCTGAAGTCTCTCCATGTCTTTTGTTCATCCAAAGGTTAACTTCTAGTCCAATTCTCGTCTAAGGTGTAGTATCTTGAATTCAGGCACAGGCTATGCTATACTAGGGAAGTCATTCTCAGGCTTGCTCAACTGTTTTTGTTGTTGTTTAGTCACTAAGTGTAAGTGTTAGTTGCTCAGCTGTGCCTGACTCTTTGCGACCTCATGGACTGCAGCCTACCAGGCGCCTCTGTCCATGAGATTTTCCAGGCAAGGGTACTAGAGTGGGTTGCCATATCCTCCTCCAGGGAATCTTCCTTACCTAGGAATAGAACCCATGTCTCCTGCATTGGCAGGTGGATTCTCTACCACTGAAACACCAGGGAAGACCCTTCTCAGGTGTTATAGTACTTGAAAGTCATGGTGCTCTTTGTGGGACTTTAACAAATGAGATATTTTTTCATTTAGTTCCATGAGAATGAAATAATAGCTGTATCACAGCACCTGTCATTGGGGGTACTTCCTATGTATCAAGCACTCTGCTAATCTCTTTACGTGCATGACTTTATTTGTCTCTCACTATAACCCTGTGCACTGTGTTGAAGATGGAGGCTCAGATATGTTTAGACACTTCCCCAGAGTCAAACAACCTAGAAGTGATAACCAGGATTTGTACTCTGGACTTTAAAGTTTGTGATTGTAACTAATGTACCTACTGCTTCTCCTTATGAACAGTTTTCCTAATAGAAAACACGCCTATGTGACAAGTGGGCAATATTAAATGCAGCCTCTAGAATATGGATTTGAGTACACAATATAAGCTGATGAAAACATATGTTCTGCAAAATACATCATAAATATTCTTTTGCACACCATAGTAACACAGTCTTTTTTGTCCCTCCATCTTATTTATAGTAATTACTTGTACTTCTTTATTTGTCTGGGGTTCATTTAAAAGTGCCAGTTGATAATACTCCCATCATAGTACTATTGTGAGAATTTATACACTATCACCAGTGCCAGCTTTCACAGACTCTCTAAGGTGCTTCACAGACTTGGGGACACATGAAGATAGTCTGCCACCCAGACTGCTTTTTACTGATAGTGTGTTGCTGGAATGGATAGGCCACATGGAGAACAGAGCACAAATGTGTCTAGTCTTGCTTCAAAGTGGATATTCTGAAACATGCTTATACAAGAAAGTTAAAAAATTTTTCTTTCATCTTGCCACTTTGTCAATTCTGGTTCACCTCACATATGTTTCTCTTGGGTGACTTTTCTTCTCATTTTGGTTCCTACTAGATGTCTTAGAGCTTCAGCTTTTGCCCAACTCCAGGTTCAGTAAGTGAAGTACTCAGAATTAGTTTAGATCTTAGCCACCCACTAGGGAGGAATGCTGATACATTTTTGGATTAAGTAATTGTTTAACAGAAAAGGAGACTGCATAGAAAGTAGACAGTACAATTTTTAAATTGGGGGTCAAATATGACTGTAAACCACAATATTTTTGTGAAGAATCACAGAATACTTAAATGCTACTTAAATTCTCTTGGTTGTTAATCGCTCAGTCATGTCTGACTCTCTGTGACCCCCTGAACTGTAGCCAGCCAGGCTCCTCTGTCCATGGAGCTCTCCAGGCAAGAATAGTGGAGTGGGTTGCCATTTCTTCTCCATGGGATCTTCTCAACCCATGGATAGAACCTGTGTCTCCTGCATTGCAGGCAGATTCTTTACCATCTGAGCCACCAGATCAGTGATGTTAAATGCTCTTAACACCACCTTAATACATCACACTAATGATTGCCCATCTCACTGTAAGCAATGAATAAGAGGTAGCCATTACTTTTGTGATGATGATGATGGATAGACAGCCAATTGGAGTGTTCTCAAAGACTATTCAAATTTCTTAAGATGCATAAAAAATAAAAAATAAAAAAGTGAAATTCAAACTAGAAAGATGTAGCTATTTACTTTGTTTTTTTTCCCATTTATTTTTATTAGTTGGAGGCTAATTATTTTACAACATTGCAGTGGGTTTTGTCATATATTGTTGAATCCATAACATGTGTGATGTCTGTGATTGCTATTTGTCCCTCAATATTCATCCTTTCCTTCTTTCTCTTAGTAACAGAACTACCTAAGTTTTGACTCAGTCAAAGACCTCATATTCCAATCTGCTTTGCGGCTAAGTTTGGCCATGCCACCGCCTGGCCAATGACGTGTGAGTGGCAAGTGCAGCCTCCAGGTCACATTCTTAAAAGGAAACTGCTTGCCCTTCACATCCTTATTCCTTTTCTCATGAGAATTGAGTGAGTGTTGATCATATGAACAAGGAAAGCAAAGATAGAAGAACCCCAAGGACTTGGATGACCTTGTGGAGCAGAGCTACCTGCCTCCAGACTGTTACAAAGGAGAAAAACAATTTTTATATTGTTTCAGCCACTGTATTTTTTTAGTTTCTTCATTATTTGTCAACTTAGCCTAATACATGAAATAAAATGTCTGGTACAATGCACATCAACTATAAAAGAAAATCACACATTTTAAAAAGAAATGCAAATAAGAAAAATATATCATTAAAAATGGAATCTAAAAATGTGGGGGAAAAAGTACCAGTTGATACCAAATGATGCATTGTTTGCTACTAGCAGCTGATGCAAGAAAGGATGGACAATTGCCTCTTTAGGATGCACTCCTGATTACTTCCAGAAATCGTTCTTTGAAAAACAAATTTATTTTAACCATTCTCTTTTCAATATCTTTCACAGAAGTTAAAAATCTTTAACAGTTTTAAAGAGCAGAGAGTTAGAGATGTTCACTAGAAAGGTGTCTGAGACTTTTCTTTTAACATGCTTTCTTTGGCCAAAAATGTCAGGACTATTCAAGTAACAGAACATTTGCCATTTTTATCACCAGTCGCTCATCACTGTTGCTCAGAGAATGAAGAATATTTCTTTTGGGTGCCAGAACTCACCTCAGAATTGACATTTATGCCCCACCATGAAGGATGTATGAACATTCACACTGTGAACAGCTTCAGGTTCCAAACCATACCCAGGAAAACAAATGACAATTGCCTAGGTAAGACTGGAGCCAAGCCTACATTTGTTTTCTTAATTTCAACCTCTTTCACCTTTATGCCAACTTGAACACTTATTAATCCCATGGTAACTACAGAAAAATAGGTCTTTCTGACTGGACTTTATCCATAAGCCTAAGATTTTAGATCAATGATAAAACAGCAAAATAACAATTGCCCTGACAGCCTAGTTGGACTGCTCTCCTTCAGATCCCCTGAATAAAACCTTAGCTTGGACATGACCTAGTCAGGTTCCATGAGCTATTCTTGACTCAATCACCCAGGTTCTCTGTCTTACTTTTGTTCTAGTCTGTTCTTGTTACTTCAGCCCTTTCTCTTATGGTTTACACTTGATTCAGAGTCATCTTAAATTCTAGGTTGTCTGCACATTTATATTTTATCTCTCATGAGCCACATCCACATTGCCTACATTTTCTTCAACATACATGAATTTGCTTTTCTTAAAATAAAATACATAGACAATACAGATGGTTCTTAGGAGGGGTGAATCATCACATCCTCAATACATAATGTAATTGGTACATAATATCAAAGAAACATGCCTTCAAGGTCTCAGAGAAGAAACAGGGACTTTTATAGGAAATGTCTGGTTTTTAACTCAGCCTCATTTCAAGCACTGAATCAAGACCTTATTTTTCTGTGCAAAGATTCAGGAGTAGCTAGTTCATAAAGTATCAGTTCAAATCTCTTTGGGGAACCAAAGTTATCAAAAAATATGTGAAAACCCACAGGCTAATTGAAATACAAAATTCTCCCAAGGGAAAAGTTAAATACCAATGGCATCTTATCTTGCTGGTTCTAATCTTCTTAACGTTGCTACCTGGTGAGAATAACTTTCTTCCACAATCACTTGCTACACAGAAGCATTTTTTGTTAAATTTTAAGTCTTCGACCAAAAAGTTTCCTTTAAGAAAAATTTCTAAAAGATGATTTAAAAAAAAAAGAGTAGCTGGATACTTATGTTTAACAATTTTCTTTTTGTATTTTTAAAACTGTGATCAGATGCCTAGACATGATGCTAAATTATGAAGAGCGACATTGTAATCATAGAAACTCACTCTCCAATATACATGTTTGGCCCTGATCTTTAAACTTTTTTTTGGCCACACCTATCTATAGTTATCTTCATTTGAGTTTCTCAAATTTGGGTCACCTCAAATCCTTTATTTAAAAATAAAATCATCTTCCTAGCTTTCTGTTTTTCTTGATGTTGTTCATCTATATTTCC